GCTATTTCACCTATCCGAGGACTTAAAAACGCACATTTATATTTTAAGTAAATTTTACTACAGTATAATATCCTAAAGGCTATACCATGTTAAGTGGCACCCAGGTAGCCTCACATTGGACATTCATAATTTCCACTGTTTGGATATTTCCCCAGGGATCACATCATGAAGTTAGAGGTTTCTAAGAAGTGTGAAAGACTGTGACACTTGGCTGAGCATTCTTATACTAATCAATCCATCTCAAAGTAGTCACATGGTTCCATTTTGTTAACTTATTTAGAAAACAGTAACTCATCAAGAAGACTATTCTTTTTTATTTTCCTTCCAGAACAATCTTTTATTCCTTTCTCTTGCTTCAGCTTGTTTTTCACACTTTTTACGAGCATACTTACTCATTTTCTTTTACTCTCACATTCATGGGATCAGTCAATTGTATACACATAGCATAAGCACATACACAGTCATATGATCTTCTCCTGACGCAACATAGACCACAATTCTGAGGAAGCACCTTTTTAAAAATTTTTTTTCAAGTAACAGAATTTAGTGATTCATCGCTTACATATATCATCCAAGTGCTCATCCCAACAAGTGAGGGAAGACTATTCTGAAGTACAACTGACCTATGAACAACATGACGGTTAGGGCCAACTCCCACCGCCACACTCAGTCAAAATTTTATGAGTAACTTTTGACTCCCCCCAAACCTAACTACTAACAAGCCTATTGTTGGCCAGAAGCCTTATCAGCAACATGAACAGTTGAGTAACATGTGTATTTTGTACTTTATATGTATTATATACTACTCTTACAATAAATTTAGAAAAAACAGAATGTTACTACAAAAGCCATAGGGAAAATACATTTATAAAACTTTACTGTAAAAATTTATCTGTATAAACAGATCCACACAATCCAAACCTGTGTTGTTGGAGAATCAACTATATTTGGTAACCCGGTTTCACCTCGTCTCAGTTCTGTTTTACCCTCATCATGCAAACAATACACATGCTGTTTAGTGGGAATTTATTTATCATTAACCCTTGAGTTTTTAAAAAGTCTAAGTTTTAGCTTTGACCACATAAACAACCTAACAGAGTGTTTAGTTTTCTTCTGTAGCAGATTTTAATAGCTTACTAAATGACTTTTAAGAGTTTGTACATTAGGACTTTCCCAATGAACACCAGAAGACTATCCATGACTTTCATCTCCCTCAGTACTGCACATATCTCTTGTACATGATAAGCAATCAATTATCTGTTCAATGACCCTTAAGCAGAAAAATTTTAAGATTAATTCCTAACTTCCAGCCTAGAAAGATTCCTAACAAAAACAAATTATGGAAAACATCCTTTTTAGAGATTCATGCAGAAGTACTTTTGAATGGAAGGACAGGTCAGGATTTGCTCCAGCAAATTAAACTACTGAGGCACCTGGGTGGATCAGTCAGCTGGGCGTCCCAACTTTGGCTCTGGTCACGACCTCACGGTCCAAGCCCCACATCGGGCTCCATGACGACAGTGCAGAGCCTGCTTGGGACGAAACTAAGTGTACAAAGGTCTTGGCTTCTAGACCAAAACAATGATTAAAAACACTAACATCTGTATTTAAATCAGGCTGTAACTCAGATTTTCATCTCAAAACTTTCATGGTGTTTATACAGATTAACCTAGTGTAATAGAGATAATAAATTCATGGAATTACACAACTTTAGAATTGAAAGGGTTTTAAAGAATCACCAAGTTTAAGTATCTTGCTCAAATCCCAAAGCTGTTCAGTACAGAAAAGCATTCTACACTGGAAAACATTTCTTCTCACACCTGTTAACCTGTTCACTTGTTTTTTAACAACAAGTACAATATATTGCTGCTTTCAAAAAATCTTTTCCTCTTTTTAAGTTTGGATTGCTTCCTTTACCACAGCATATAATTTTACAAGTTACACATCATGTCTACAAAATATTATTTGGTTAAAACATTTACAATTACATTAGAATAACTATTTGTACCTTAAGTTTCCTTGTTTTCATAGACTCCAGATTTTGATTTTAACAGTACTTTATATCAACATTTTTATATTCAAGTTTCTGTGAAAAGCACAGTTTATAAAAAACAAAATCTTGTGTGTGTCAAATCAAGTTCAATTTTGTTACTGCAAAACAATTTTCTCTCAACTGCTGATTTTCTAATGTCACCCCTGAAAAGAGCATAAATTATTTTAATGTGAAAGAAAAATAGAATATAGAAATTGTTGGCACACAAAGAGTAGCAGGCTGCACTTTTAAGTGCACACTGCAATACTGTGCTATAGCAACTAGCTCAGCTATGAGCTTACATTTTATTTATTTCTGTAGGAAACTAATATAGTACATGAAGACCATCTTAGCATTATAGTAAAAGTATTATTAAAGAAAACTTTCCTACCTTTTAGATTACCTAAAAAACAGGGGCTACACATTATTAACTAGCAAAGTTCCTTTTTTTTCTTTAATTTTTTTAATGTTTAATTATTTTTAAGAGAAAGAAAGAGCATGAATGCGGGAGGGGCAGAGAGAGGGAGACACAATCTGAAGCAGGCTCCAGCTTCTGAGCTGTCAGCACAGAACCCCACCCCCCCCACCCCACCCCCGCCGCACATGGGGCCCAAACTCACTCATGCTCCATGTTTCCAGGTTTGGCTACTTCAATCTAAATTGAAGGCATTAAGCAGAATTTTTTTCCAGGTATCTTAAGTTTTTGCATATTTTCCCAAAACTCCTGCTCTTTTAAGTTTTGCACTATGCCACTTTGAAACCTAGAAGGTATGTATGTAGAACAAGTCTCCTCTTCTATATATTCATTTAACATTTATTGAGCACCACCCACTCATAAGCATTCTTCTGAACTTGACAGTAAGACTGTAACAATAAAGGCTTACATTCCTCTCTCATGAAACTCATAGTGTAGGGGATCTAAGAAAGATAAGTCAACAACTGAAAGTCAGCACTATGGAACTGATACTATGCTGAAAGTACACACAAGATGCTAGGTAGACCTATACTTTACTGCATATACAGAAGAAACAGCCTCATACTACAAGTAAATGAGCCAAGAAAGTTGAAAGGGTGAGAAAGCTAAGTCAAACAGGCTATTCAGAATACAGCCTCTGATTAGGCACAATTTGTAAAATAAATGAGCATGACTTTAGGGGGAAAAAAATACAATTTGTAGAGACTGCTTAAGCTGAATATAAATTATACCTAAAACTAAAACAACACGTTATGAGAGTACAACTCGGGAAAGTTGAACTATGAATTGAGACTTTACAGAAGGGTACTCTTTCACAAAATAACTAACAATCTTTAGACACTTGATTTCGGAAAACAGCAAATATGAAAGTTAAGTGGAAAGGTGTAAGATGAGGATAAAGGTGAGAAAAATCAGCAAGAAATTCACAGAAAAACCTAAGAGGATAAACAGTCCAGTGTTTAAATCCTAGTTGGCTTTTGGGGCACCTGGGGGCTCAGTGGGTTAAGTGTTCAACTCCTGATTTCAGCCCAGGTCACGATCTCATGGTTCATGGGATCTAGCACTGCCTTGGGTTCTGCACAGACAGCACAGAGCCTGCTTGGGATTCTCTTTCTCTCTCTCTCTCTGTCTGCCCATCCCCAAATAGTGTGTGTGTGTGTGTGTGTGTGTGTGTGTGTGCTCTCAAAATAAATGAAAATAAACTTTTTTTAAAAAATCCTAGTTGGCTATCAAGCAAAAGCAACAATGATCTAAAAAGCAATCTTCAACAAACACAATTTCTCTTATATTCAACATCCTTGAATAAATCTAAGATTGGCTATTTAAAACCACTAGGTTAAAAGTAAAGAGTACCAGGGCACCTGGGTGGCTCAGTCTCTTAAGCATGTGACTTCAGCTCAGGTCATGATCTCTCAGTTTGGGAGTTCAAGCACCCCATCAGGCTCTGTGCTGACAGCTTAGAGACAGGAGCCTGCTTCAGAATCTTTGCCTCTCTCTCTGCCCCCCGACTCTCAAAAATAAATAAACGCTAAAAAAAAAAAAAATTTTTTTTTAAAGATAGTATAGGGAACCTAATGGAATTCTGGCTTAAACTTTGATGTATATAAGAATCACCTGGAGGGGCGCCTGGTTGGCGCAGTCGGTTAAGCATCCGACTTCAGCCAGGTCACGATCTCGCGGTCCGTGAGTTCGAGCCCCGTGTCGGGCTCTGGGCTGATGGCTCAGAGCCTGGACCCTGTTTCTGATTCTGTGTCTCCCTCTCTCTCTGCCCCTCCCCCGTTCGTGCTCTGTCTCTCTCTGTCCCAAAAAAAATAAATAAACGTTAAAAAAAAAACTAAAAAAAAAAAGAATCACCTGGGGAGCCTGTTAAAAATGCGGATTCCCAAATTATATGGTCAAAGTGAGGCTTACAAAAGGCAAAAATACTATGAGAGTTACCAGTGTTACAAGGTGCAGTCCAAAACAGGTTGAACAGCATGAAAATCACTACTTTAGTAAGGTGAAAACAGTCAAATACAAAAATGTCAAAGTAAGTGAATGAAAAAAGCAAAGTCTTTTCAACAAATAGTGTTAAAACAACCAATAAAGGGCTCTCACCCACCAGTTATGTCAAACTCCCTCCCTACATCTGACCTACATCCATCAATTACCCAAGCAAGTCAAAATTTTAACTTTCTGAATTTCAGCTCTATCCCTCATAAATGCTCCCTTTTACTGCAGCTTCTTTTTCCCATGTGAACTTCAATACCCTCAAAACAGTCTCTGCCTTCAGACTGTTCTCTACCAATACCCCGCTTCTGGCAACCTAGCCATCTTATGGGTCGCATCACTATCCAGTTTAAAATCTTTCAGATGTTATCGATTATTCTAAACTTTCTAAGGTCAAATGGAAAGAATTCATAATCTTTTGATACAATAGAGGAGTAAAATTACAAACATTTCTACACAAGTAGCAGTTTTCATAATCAAAATTAACTATGTTAAATCACTTACATCATAAAACAATTTCCTATCAGCAGCCAGACGTTTGGAAGCCAGAGTCTTGGTAACATGATAGAAGGTAAGTAATGCTCTGTGCTGTCGAAGATCATCTTGGACTTTCACAGATTCTATAAGAGTGGGAATGAGTTCAGGCCACTGTCTAGGACAGTCCAATCTAGCAACTTTTGCAATCAGCACTGCAATCTGAGTTGCAATCTAAAGGGAAACAAAGTAGTCATCAGAAACACACATATATAATCAAAGCAACAGATAAGGAATGCATTCACAGTTGAAAATTACCTTCTGGTCAGTTATACATTTGACAAAAGTGAATACAATTTCACTGAAAACTTCTTACTTAAGACAGTGGTTCACCAAGTATGGTCTATGAATCCCTTGAAGAGGGGAAGGGGGCTAAGACCCTTTCAGGGATCTGCAAGGTCTCTCTTTAATTTATCACTGTGATGCTAGATGTTCTTCATGTAACTTTTCCTAAAATAATACTTGGCAACAGAGTATAGGAAGCAGCAGATATGAAAATCTAGATGTTTTCTTTTAAATATCCAGACACTATGGAGATAAACAATAATGCAAAACAATGCCACTCTTCTCCTTAAATATGTATGTGTTGGCGGAAACAACTATGGTTCATTTTTTTAAATTCTATTTATGTTAACAAGTAATGGTTTTATTAATGTTAAAAAATTTGTTCAATTGATAACACAGTAAATATCAAAATATAATGTGCCGTTTTATTTTAGCAGAATAAAGAAGTTATAAGATCACAAAGTTTGAGAATCACTGACCTAAGAGTAGAAATGAACATCAAATATTATGTTTGTAAATAATGACATTTGTACAGATCAGTGTTTCCCAAATGCTGGCTGACAGAGCATATTAAGCAATGGTTTATCACAAACCCCTCCCAACCATCTCCTGCCCCAGGGAGAAATACTTCTTTAATCCCAACCTTCCCTCACCTCCTTCAAGGGACTACAAAGCAGAGAACTAAGATCACTGTAGAAGAGATTGAGATAAAACTGGATTAGATACATCACAAAATCCAGTGAGGCTAAATATTCAAATTAAAATAATTAAGTGTAATAAATAGTAACTTGTAAAAATTTAAGAATTTTTGAATCCATATGCAAAACATTCTTACACGCAAAATCTCACTGTAAAGGAAAGAAAGAAATGGAACTGAATAATCTATTACAGTATATAGGGAGAAGTGAAAATGTCATGGGTGTCGGGAATAGACAAGATATACTGTAGTTTAAAAAAAGGAGGAGAATGGGGTGCCTGGGTGGTCTGAGCATCCATCCAATTTCCCCTCAGGTCACGATCTTATGGGTTCAGGTTTGTGAGTTTAGACCCTGCACTGAGCTTGCTGCTGAGAGCACAGAGCCTGCTTCAGATCCTCTGTCCCTTGCTCTCTCTGCCCCTACCCTGCTCGCTCGCTCTCTCAAAAATGAATAAACATTCAAATAAAATTTTAAAAAGGAGGTAGAGAATAACAAATCATTAAAATTAATTTCTATGCAATAAGACTAGAAATATATAGAAACTTGCTTTCAATACTGTATTTCTTAAAATGACTTCTGAATTTTAAAACAGCCAAATATAACAAAAATTCTTGACAGCTAGAAATTAACCTCAAAATTTAAAACCCACAAATATTACGAATAGACATGATAAAATTGCATTTTTCCTGCCAAAAAACAAAATTAGTTTGGAAACGAAGTAGAAAGTAGGGGAACAGAAAGCATACTTAGCATTCATTTTCTCACTAACCTGGTTTACTGGTTCGTTGAAGTTGGTGATTAGCCCTGCACGCAACGTAGATTTCTCCTCCTCCGAGAGAGCACTGTAAAAAGATTAATTCATTATGCAAGAGGATGCTACCTAACAATAAAAAGCCTTTCAAAAAAGAGGCCACTCATTAGTTTTGGTAAATAAACAGAATTATTGCCATTACTTGTATATTGACACATCAAGTAATTCCTAAGTGTAAAGCTCCTTCACAAGTGAATACAAAGTACAAAATAGTAAGCAACAAGAAATAAGACAAATCCAGAATGACAAATGTGGTACTGTGACATCTGCTTTATTAATATAAAAACAGTTGCCTAAAAAAATTAAGTTTCTAAAAAAAAAAAAAAGTGTGTATGAATAAATATTAGCCTTCCACTGACTTCTTTTATAAAATCTGAGTGAGGTTATTCTATAGGGGAAGGGATCAGGAATCAGAGGATATTTGCAATTAAAGACTTATTAGAAATTAGCTAGTTTAGGGGGCCTTGGAGGCCCCCTGCTGTATCAGCGCAGAGCCTGATTAAGAGCCTCTGTCCACCTCTCTCTGCCCCTCCCACGCTGCACATGTTCTCTCTCTCAAAAATAAACATTAAAAAAAAAAAATCAACTAATTTATAATTTTTCATTTTACATCTCCAGGAAGGATAAAAACAATACTAACAATTCTGCCTGCAAATGAGTTAGTAAACTACAAGAGCAAAAGACCAGGATGGAGAATATTCACTAATAGAGTATACGCATTTTGATTTTTGAAATATATGAATGTTGGGGCGCCTGGGTGGCTCAGTCGGTTGAGCGTCCGACTTCAGCTCAGGTCATGATCTCACAGTCTGTGAGTTTGAGCCCCGCGTCGGGCTCTGTGCTGACAGCTCAGAGCCTGGAGCCTGTTTCAGATTCTGTGTCTCCCTCTCTCTTTGACCCTCCCCCGTTCATGCTCTGTCTCTCTCTGTCTCAAAATTAAATAAAACGTTAAAAAAAAATTAAAAAAAAAAAAAAGAAATATATGAATGTATTGTTTATTTAAAAATTACTTTTTAAAGCCCCCATATTAAGGTTTTCCATTATGGCCATGATAGAGCAGATGGTATCAGATGAATCATCCCAGTAAGATCAGCTATAAAAGTGCTACACAATTTTTTGTTTTTTAAGTGTTAAGGCATCTCTCTGTTGAGTAGAACTGTGTCCCTCCAAAAAGATATGTTCAAGCCTTAACCCCAAGTATCTCTGAATGTGACCTTATTTTAAAACTGGACACTTGCTGATGTAATCAAGTCAGAATGAGGTCATAACAAATTAGGGTGGGCCCTGATCCAATGACTGGTGGTGCCCTTTACAAGGAAAGGAAAACGTGGACAGACACGGAAGAAACACGTGAAAAGGCGGCCATGTGATGATGGAGGCAGAGACTGGGATTACAACTGCAAGCCAAAAACCCCTAACAATTGCAGACCACAAACAGAGACTAAAAAGAGACAAGGAAAGATTTTTCCCTAGGACCTTCAGAATAAGCAAAGCCTTGACAAGCATCTTCACCTTAGACTTCTAGCCTCCTGAACTGCGGGACAACACAATTCTGTTGTTGTAAGCTACCCAGTTTCTGGTGGTTAGTTATGGCAGACTGAAGAAACTAATGCAGCATTTAAAACAATGTAGGCAGCCATGACTTGAAGGATGACGGTCTAGAAAAAAGGGAGAGGAACTGTGCTGAGCCAGAACACTTCCCCTGGAGCTATCTGCCCATAAAAATCCAAAGCAGGAACTACACGACTAATGAACTAAGAGATTTCACTAGGTCTCAAGTGCTGAAAAGGCAAAAACTGACGCTCAGGGCGAACCAGTAAAGCAATACTTTGGTAAACACCCAAAGATTGCAGCTGAAACCCGAAGAAGGCTAAAAATCAGGATTAAGAGTAAACTAGAAAGATGGGGGGCCTGGGAGGCTCAGGTGGTTAAGGGTTTAACTTCGGCTCAGGTCATGATCTCGTGGTTCATTGATTTGAGCCCCGCATGGGGCTCTGTGTTGACAGCTCAGAGCCTGGAGCCTTCTTCAGATTCTGTGTCTCCCTCTCTCTCTCTCTCTGACCCTCCCCTGCTGGCTCTCAAAATAAATAAAAACATATAAAAAAAAATTAAAAAAAAAAAAGTAAACCAGAAAGAGACCACCCTCAACTAAGTCAAGGCTGAAGTCATATTCTATTTGCCTGCCTGGAAAAAATTAAAATTTTCTCTAAAGAAAAATAACAAAATTCCAAGCCTCTCCAATTTTCCCTCAACAATGCTTAGCATACAGTCAAAAACTGACTATGTATACTACAAACCAGGTAAAAGTTATTAAAATCAAAACACAAATAAAAATAGGAGACACAAGGGTGCCTGGGTGGCTCAGTCAGTTAAGCATCCAATTTGGCTCAGGTCATGATCTCACGATCCATGAGTTTGAGCCCTGTGTCGGACTCTGTGCTGACAGCTCAGAGTCTGGAGCCTGCTTCCGATTCTGTGTCTCCCTCTCTCTCTGCCCCTCCCATACTTGTGCTCTGTCTCTGTCTCTCTCAAAAAATAAATAAAATGTAAAAAAAAAAAAATTTTTTTTTTTTAAATAGGAGATACACAGGGCACATGGGTGGCTCAGTTAAGCATACAACTCTTGATCTCAGCTCAGGTCTTGACCTCAGGGTACTGAGTTCGGGTCCCACAGTGGGCGCCATGCCAAAACAAAAACAAAAAAAACAAGAAAAGAAAGAAAAAAGAAAAAACAAAAACACCACACACACAGGAAATACAGACATTGTAATTATCAAAATCACACTTTAAAAAAATTATGAATTTGTTGATCAAAATAGGTGAAAACTGTACTATTTCACCACAGAGCTGGAATTCATTTAAAAACAAAAAACAAAAATAGGGGTGCCTGGGAGGCTCAGTAGGTTAAGTGTGTAACTCAGTTTCAGCTTAGGTCATGATCTCAGTCTGTGGGTTTGAGGCCCAGAGCCTGCTTGGGATTTTCTCTCTCTCCCTCTGTCTCTGCCCCTCCCCTGCCCATGCTCTCTCTCTCTCTCTCAAAATAAATAAACTTCAAAAACAATGTTTTAAAAAATACCAAAGGAAAATCCTAGAATTGACTTTTTAAAAAATAGCAAAATAAAGGTAACAAACTTAAGGAGAAGTCAGCAGAAAATATACAGATTAAAATATAATGAGGAAAAATGGACTTCTAGAGGCACCTAACTGGCTCTGTTTGTAGAGCATGCAACTCTTCATCTCTGGGCCATAAGTTCAATCCCTACCATGGGCGCAGAGCTTACTTTAAAAAAAAAAAAAAAAAGAAGAAGAGAAGAAAAAAAACTAGATTTCTAGTTTCAAGGTGTTCACTGACAGATGTGCACCAAAAAACTGCTAAAGGCAATTCTTTGGCTGAAAACAAATGGATCCAGATGGAAGCCCAATACCACCGAAAGGAAGAACACTGGAAAGATAAATGTAAAGCACTACTGCTGCTGGCTTTTCAGGGAAAGATGGCAGAGTAGGAGAATCCTAAATCATCTTCCCACACATGCAACGAGATAACACCCACATTTGTGTAAATAATCCAGAAAACGGCCCCAAGAATGGCAGAACAGACTCTTCACAGCTAAATGTAGACAAGAGGCAATACCGAAGAGGGCAGGCTGGGCAGAGGCGCGGTCAAGAGCAAAAGAGACCTGCAGGACTGTCCTAAGGAGGGAAGGATGACCTAAGCACAGAGAAGGAAGAGGAGCAAACCCCCACACCAGGTACCCCAGGCATGAAGGACACACACAGGTACACAAAGGGAGGACCAATCCCTGTAACATGTGGCTTAAAAACCAAAGAGGCCGCATAATCAGTGAGGCTTACCCCTGGAACATTAAAAATCACTGGGCAAGCTCTGGGAAAGCTGGGAAGGTAGGAGTCCCTGCCCTTGAAGAGACAGCACAACAAACAGCAAGCAAAGAGGCAGCAGTCTGAAAAACATGGGAAAGAGATTTGTTTACTACTCTCAAAGCCTGTGCTGGAGTGGCAGGGAGCTTTGGGAGACCTCCAAAGACAAAGGAGCTATCAGGCACCATTTCCCTCCCCTACAGCCTAGAAATGCAGACAAATGATGGAACCAGTCAGCACCAACGCTCTTCACCTAGCCTGCTAACAGTGTGCCCCACTCCGGTATTCTCCTGAGGATCTGCCCCGTACAATACCTCGTTGGCTAGAGCCATACAAAGCAGTGCCACAAGCCGGGTAGTGTGCACACAGCCCCAAAATGAGCCAGAATACTCCAAAGGGACTCCCACCATTGAAAGAGAGAGGATGCAGAAACATCTATCACGCAAACGGATGTCAAAAGAAAGCCAAAGTAGCCAAGGTTATATGAGACATAATAAACTTTAAAACAAAAAGATGAACCAAGAGAAAAGAAGGACACCATACAATAATAATGGGAAAGGGGCACCTGGGTGGCTCAGGTCATGATGTCATGGTTCATGGACTCAAGCCCCACATCAGGCTCTGTGCTTATAGCTCAGAGCCTGGAGTCTGCCTTCCGATTCTGTGTCTCCCTCTCTCTCTGCCCCTCTGTCATTTGCACTCTGTCTCTCTGTCTCTCTCTCTCTCTCTCTCTAAAATAAACATTAAAAAGTTTTTTAAAAAATGGGAAAAATCAAACAAGAAGATATAATAATAGTAAATATTTATACACACAACATACAGGTACCCAAATACATAAAACAGTTAATAACAAACATAAAAGAACTAATCCATAATAACACAATAATAATAAAGGACTTTAATATCTCATTTACATCAATGGACAGATCATCTAAACAGAACATCAGCAAGGGAAAAATGGCTTTGAATGACACATTGGAAGAGAGGAATTTAACAGATACAGTCAGAACATTCCATCCTTAAACAGGAGAATACACATTCTTTACAAGTGCAAACAGAACATTCTGGAGAATAGATTACGCATTAGCCCTTAAAAAAACCCCTCAACAAATTAAGACTATAATCATTCCACACATATGACCACAATGATATGAAACTACAAGTCATTCACAAAAAAAATCTGGCAAGATCACAAATACATGGAGGTTAAATAACAAGCTACTAAACAATGAATGGGGCAACCAGGAAATAAAAAAATAAAAAAAATACAAGGAAACAAACGAAAACACAATGGTCCAAAATCTCTGGGATGCAGCAAAAGTGGTTCTAAGAGGGAAGTTAAGAGCAAAACAGCTCAATCACAAGAGCAGGGTGCATGCAACACACACAGGAGTTATCACTGAGGCACCACGTTGTGGTGAATGGGAAACTGCACTACAGGATCTCTTCTTCATTAAGCCACGACTTTCAAAATCAGGAGGGGTGGCTGACTTTTCCTAACACACAGGAACAGATACAGAGAGTCTGACAAAATGAGGACACAGAGGAATGTGTCCCAAATGAAAGAACAGGACAAAATCATAGCAAGAGAGCTAAGTGAAATGGAGGTTAAGTAATATGCCCGATAGGACAATTTAAAGTAATGATCATAGCTACTCACTGGACTTGACAAGAGAGAACGGCTTCAGTGGTCTTAACAAAGAGACAGAAAACAAAAAAGAAACAATCAGAGATGAACAACTCAATAACTTAAAGATTCACTGGATGCAGTAAATAGATTAGAGGAAGCAGAAGAATGGAGGACAGAGTATTGAAAAGTAAGTAATCAAGTTGAACAAAAGAAAAAAAATACGAAATGAAAATGGAGTAAGGGAATTTAGCAACACCATCAAGCTAATGAGCAGCAAATGTCAACAGTGATATGCCCCTGTGGAAGTGTAAATTAGTATGAACCCTTTGAAAACAAATTGATGGTATTTACTACAGCTGAACACACATTTGACTACACATGACCAAAAAATGCACTTATGTGCAATAAGATATACAGAAGAGTTTTCAGGAAGCATTACTATTAATAGACAAAAACTAGGAACAACCTTAACGCCCAACAGCAGCAGAACAAATAGATATGCTATGTTCCTAACATGGAATATTTTCCTTCTACATATGAGAAAACTTTTCAGGCAATTACATGGGTAAATCTCACAAATCTAAAAATGAATGAAAGACACACAAAACAACATAGCGTAAGATTTCCATTTGTGGAACTTCAGAAACAGGTAAGGTTAATGTATGGTTAAGAGATGTCAAATGTTGCTGGGGAGGGGTGCACAGGTGACCGCGAGGCAGGAGGAAGGCTTCTGGGCGCTACTAATGTTCCACCTACTTGCAAGTGCTAGTTACATGGATGTGGTCACATTATAAATATTAAAACTGTACCCTTCATTTGTGCACTTTCTCAGTTATGTTGTATATTGTACTTCAATAACAGTCTCTATTAGCCTTAACTATGACCAGGTGAGTAAACAAATGAGCAAACAAGATTAAGATAAACGTTCAGGTGAAAAAGAGTCAAAGCCTAATGCAAGTCTAGGCTTTCCCATGAGAAATGATCTCTTCAATCCTTTTATGATTGTGTTGTACTTCCAACTTAGATATTAACCTGGAGAAAACTCATGTCTTTAGCAATTCTCCACTAATGGTTAACACTGCACCTTTAATTTCATGCACACGCTATCATTAGATGAATTCAGATTAGTTTCCAAGCACAAACTGCACAGTATCTAATTAATTAGGACCCAGTTAAAGTTGAATTATATACAGTAATGATCTGTAAGTTCAAATTGATGCTCATTCCGTGAAAATAGCAGTAGGGGCAGGAACTATACAAGATGAAACTTAGATAAGAACACACACAAGCAGATGTTTTAAGTGTGTTAAATTTATTTTTTTTTTAATTTTTTTTTTATTATTATTTATTTTTGAAGGAGAGAGAGAGAGACAGAGCACGAGCAGGGGAGGAGCAGAGAGAGGGGGAGACACAGAACCCGAAGCAGGCTCCAGGCTCTAAGCTGTCAGCACAGAGCCTGATGCGGGGCTTGAACTCATGAACTGTGAGATCATGCCCTGAGCCGAAGTCGGACGCTTAACCGGCTGAGCCACCCAGGTGCCCCTAAGTGTGTTACATTTAAATGAGTTCTATAACTGAGTGTTGCTCCCTTGCTGCGTTTCTGAGTACATTCTTACCATCCTTGCTCCCTCCCCACATTCATCTCCGTTCCAGGGTATATCTCAATATATACTAAAAGAAAAAGCTTCGGATTTAACTACCTAATACCATATATCCCCTTTAACTTTTCATATTTAAACTAAATTGCCATTTTTAATTCTTTATGTGAATGTATGATCTGAAATATTGAATCTACCTTTAATTCTACCTTCCAAAATTGTCATTGGGAACCATATTCTTCATATTAACTGGTAAAACAGAATGAATTTTCAGAGCTATCTAAAATTTAATTGGACAGAGAAATAGAAAGGTGTGCAGTGCTGCAATGGTTCCAGTAAATCAATAATACACAATTCCTCATCACTACCTCATTTCTCTCAAAATTATGAATTCTAAAGTAAGAGAAATGTTTATTTTATATTACAGTATCCTTAGTGCAGCCTTACAATACTCTAGTTGTTTTGGAGTGCCTGGGTGCCTCAGTCGGTTAAGTGTCTGACTTCGGCTCAGGTTATGATCTCATGGCTCATGAGTTTGAGCCCAGCATCGGGCTCTAGGCTGACAGCTCAGAGCCTGGAGCCTGCTTCAGATTCTGTGTCTCCCTATCTCTCTGTCCCTCCCCTGCTCATGCTCTCCCTTTCTCTCTCAAAAATAAATAAACATCAAAAAAAATTTCTTTAAATATTCTAATTGCTTCTAATACTATTCAAGAGCATATTCTATATGCACCTTGAAGTACTCTGACAAGTTTATTTTTTTAAGGACTTATGAATATAAAGAACATAAAGAGCTATAGTGCCATCTACTGGGGAACAAAGACTAAGTTACTTCTTTAGCAAAGTTCACTATATTTTATCAAATGAATTCAAGGGCCATGTCTATATTTAATTTCCATCTATTACATAACATGTAATTAACTATCAAGAGATATCTGTTCACTTAACCATCTATAGAGCAGTTACAACTCAATCTGAGGGGATGACAAATGGCTACTACCCTATTCCCACCACAAAGGCAATTATGCAGAAGACTTGGAAGGTAAAATGACCTGGGATTTCCTTCTCAGTAACTTTTTTTCAAAATCCTAACCTCATACTTCTCTTAAAAAAAAAAAAAAAAAAAAAGCAAAAAAAAAAAAAAACTTTGCAACCTAATTCATTCACTTAGCATTTTTGTGCCCATAAAATTAGATACCCTCAAAAGCAAAAGACAGCAAGAAATCCACAGCCTTCCTCTTAAATAAAAATAACTCGGGGAAAAAAGCAGTAATAGGAATACTGACATATAGAACCCTTTACTTCTTCAGTAGTTAACACATTTTTCTTTTAAATATCAAATGCTTTAAGAAAGTGAATGTCATCCTATACAGGGACCATGCTGACCTTCCTTAAACTGTTCTAACTTAATGTGTGTGCTGAAGCAAGCACAAATGCATTCTTCCACATAAAGAATAAAGATTAAGAGGAGCATCTGCATGCCCCCCCGAATTTGGAAAGGATTACATGGGCCAGGGAGAGTGACAGAACTTACTGAGGTGCTACACGTCTCCAATAACGATCAATTCCATTCTTAAAATATAGCACAGCAAGCCACCTTACATTTATATCCAGAGTGTGGTTTGTAAAAATATTCTGTAGAAAAAACAAAAAACAAAGCATTAAAATGAACATGTCATAAGTTAAAGTTTAATTACTTTACCCATAGTGAAATATGGATAACACTTTAAATGTTTCACTTAAGTGTTATTGCTACAGAGAACATGTTTTCTAAATCTCTATGAGCTCCAGAGTTCATGTAAGAAAGCACACGTGGTAGAAGTATGTTCATTTTTAAGCTGAGTAATAAATATTTGGGATCCATTTAACTAGTCTACTTTTAGATGTCTGAAAATTTTCCTAATAAAAAATTAAACTCAGAAAAAAAGAAACCTAATTATACATCACAACCTACACACAAAACACTGAAATAAATATCTTTTCAATTAAAAAAAAAAAGTAGACCCACCAAAGCATACATTCAAAGATTCTAAGGAGTCAAAGCCCCTGCATTATCAGCACATGCTATGAAAGGAGTTATTTCTAAGTATTCTCTTATCAAAATAATCAAGCTTACAAATAAATGTGACAGAACATTAATTCAAGTACAGACAGTCCTTGCTTTGCAGAGCTGCAGGAGATCATAAAAATGACCGTGCAAATCATGCAACAAGGTCTTAATGATCAAGGAGAAAATTGTAACTGTTCTGTGACCTGTATACATTTTTACCAAAAAAATTACTAAAATTAACAAAAATTCATAACTAACACTTGTATACGGAAATAAAAATACAACAAATGTTAACACTAATTTAAGACATCACAAACACAAAATTAAAGTGTTTTATTTCTTTTTTTTTAATGTTTATTTATTTTTGAGAGAGAGATGGAGAAAGAGCAAGCAGGGGAGGGGCAGACAGAGAGTGAGACAGAGAATCGAAAGCAGGCCCCCACTACTGTCAGCACAGAGCCCGATGCACGGCTTGAACTCAAACCATGAAGAGTGTGACCTGAGCCGAATGCTCAGGATGCTCAACCGACTGAGCCACCCAGGTGCCCCTAAAGTGTTTTGTTTCTTTATAAAAAAACTTATCTAGGTTAGTGGTTACACAGGGAAAGTGAGGAGTATCTTAACTGACTGAAATTGCACTACACTTCAGACCAAAAACTACTCAAATTCCCAAAGTTAAACTCCTAAACACAACCTTGTGTGGGAAAACCTCAAAACCAAAAGCAATGATGTGGACATATGTTCTTTACTACAGAAAAACATCACATGTAAACTATAAAAAACAGGTATGTTTTTAGAAATATCCCATTTTTAGAAAACCACGTACATACCAGAAATAAAAAAAAAATTTACAAAGAGAGTTGTGTAATGTCCATTTATTCCTTAATACCCCTGACAACTAAGACAGAGACCCTCTTTTGGGTCTCCTTTGCAAAAGAAAGAATGGACTTCTCCACCACATTAATCACATTCGATTTTAACACTTTACATGTCTGCCTTCCACAAAAGACAGAGTCATAAATACCTGAGGAGCAAATGAACAAATGGATGGAAATAATGTGGAAAGTTGGTAGCTATCTGCCTGTCTCGCCTAAACTTTGCGAACCAAGAAAAGTCAAGCTGCAGGTGTCAATCCAAGTAGAAATATTCCTGAAGTACTTTGAAGAACAAGACAGGAACACAAGTCTGAAGATCAGGAATGCAAATTTTCCACCTCCAAACTAGAAAGAACAGCTAAGGCAACAAGAGATTAAAAGTACCAAGACAGTGAGTTCAGGGAAAAGTAAAAAATTCCTGCCTGTAACTTAATTTCTCCATCTGTTATAGTCTATCCCATGTAAAAGAAATTTTACTATCCCTCTAAGAAGAAAAGTAGAGCTAGTAAATATAACAACAAAAGGCTTAGGCACTTAAAAGTAACAATTCATAACTGTACAAAAAGCAAACAGTTAATCAGCAAGCTACTGTTTTTTTTAAGGTCTAGGAGTAACCCAAATAAGAAATACCACAAGTGTTTTATATTTTGGCCTGAAAAAACATAAGGCTAATTATCCAGTATATTCATTTAAATAAACATATGAAGAATAAAGATACTCAGAAATATTCTGTACCCAAATTTTACAAACGTGACAGTAGGGTTATCCAAAAAAGGATAGAATATTATCTTTAGTATCTTTAAAAAGCAATCTGTTTTTATTTTTTAATCAATGTTTTTTACCTTTTTTCCACTGGGCCAAACACCCAACTTTCACTTATATTCAGAATATCAAGTATGATTCTAGGTATGACTAGTATCTTCCTAAGTTTAACAAGTAACTCAAGCATTTTCGCCATGAAATCAAGAATATGTATGTCAACCTTCATAATCTTCTATTTTTATAAGATATAGTAAATAAGGGGTGCTTGGGTGGCTCAGCCCGTTGAGTATCCGACTCTTGATGCTGGGCTCAGGTCATGATTCCAGACTCATGGGATCAAGCCCCATGTCTGGCTCTACACTGAGCATGGAGCCTGCTTAAGATTCTCCTTCCATTCCTTTTTCCTTTCCTTTCCTTTTCCTTTTCTTCCTTCTTTTCTTCCCTTCCCTTTTCTTGTCCTTTTCTTCCTTCTTTCCTTTCTTGGTTCTCTCTCTCTCTCTCTTTCCCCCACCCACTCCACCTTTCTCCCCACCCTACCTGTTCATGCTCTCAAAAAAAAAAAAAAAAAAAGATATGGTGAAGAGTTTATTCGGCATTTGCAACCAAGTCTCAAAACTGGATCAAATTGTGATCCAACTGGCAGCCTTACTGCCCTTGCCAAATGCAAAAAACACTCATCAGAGTTGCGAAATTTTCATAAGAAGGAAAAGAATAAAGAAGACTGTCAATACAAAAAAGACATTCTTTTATTCTGGCATTCAGAAAATAATTTTTATAAACCAAAGCTTTGATACTCCTAGAAAAGTTTAGTTAAAGCATATATTGCTAATTATTAGACTATTTTCCATAACACCCATAAGATCAAATGTGTCATGAAAATGAAATTTTTAGATGGGGAAAAGAAAACCATGTTTTAAAGCAATGCAGTGAGTAAGGGCCCCCGGGTGGCTCAGCCAGTAGAGCATCCTACTCTTGATCTTGGTTCAGGTCATGATCTCACAGTCCCTGAGATCAAGCCCCACAGCCAGCTCTGCACTGACAGCATGGAGCCTGCTTGGGATTCTCTCTCTCCCTCTCTCTCACTCTCTGCCCCTCCCCCAAGCTTTCTGTCAAAATAAATAAATAAGCAATAAAAAAAATAATAATAAAGCAACACACTGAGCAAAGGGAGATCAGACTTATGCTGCAGTAGAGAGATTGAACAACTGTGACAACATAAATTAACTGGGGCAAGAATAAAGACAAAACATGAAAGTGTACTGTCTACAGTCCTGAAGTCAGCATTAACATGCTAAAACAGAGTATCAGCAGTATCCTGCCTTCTGAGCAGACATTACCAATACCCTGTTCAGTTATCTATTCAACAATCAACAAACATTTCAACACTCTCAAGTGCCATGCCCTGAATTAATAAATGGCAGTGGCAATGACAGGCAAACATCTGGATCAGTTTCACTAAAGTAAACCACCAGTACAAGTAGATTCTGAGAACAATTAAATGAATGGTGTCTCGTTTTATTAAAAATAGTAATCAACTATTTTACAACAACTTACCAATAACACTGAATAGAAACCTGGCTGTGTCTCCCACTGTTTCAATTGCTCCTCTGCTGGTTTTAATACAGCAGTATCCTGACTGGTGGCCTGTGTTAAGACCTGAAGAACAACAGTGCTGGCACTATTGAGATCCATGGACACCTGGTAAAGATAAGTTAACATATGTGAATCAACATTATACACAAAAAATCAACAGTAACATAAGTGGAGAAAAAGGTTCAATGATCTGAATTATTCCTGCACTTCATTCACCTACCCTCGCGTGTTTCTGCTGGATTTCTAACTTAGACTTTTGGTAATTCAACTAACTTCTGCTTAAATCAACTTATTTCTGATGGAAACTGTCTTCAATGTCCCATTAGTAGAAGGTAATAGTAAACTGCAAATAAGAAATCCACCCACAAAAACCAAAGAACTAAATTCTGATTAAATATCACGGTCTGCCTAAGGCTAAGTATAATACCTTCCTAGTTTTTAAAAGAAGAATATTAAGTGTTATAAGAATTTACCACTTTATCCCTACTAAGACCAAAGGAAGAAAAAGGAAAAAGAAATTTATTCTTTGACTTATTGCTAAGTACCTCATAACATCATCGTATACTCCATCAATAACACGTGTTCAAAGTATTTTCTAAAATTTAAAAGACAAAGGTATATTCAAGAAATACTGTGGGGAAAAAATGAACTAAATCAATAAACAAAAAATATAATATAAAAATATAAACCTTAAGGACTGGATCATCTAATCCTATACCAAATATCTTAAGCCATTCTAAAAATACATTTAGCATCGCTTCTCGGCCTTTTGGCTAAGATCAAGTGTAAAAATACATTTAGCAATTTATTGATAGTTTTCTAAGCATTGCTTCTAATCACCCCCGAAACAGTGTACAATTGTATACTGACCCAAGTACGTATAATTGTACACAAAATGCTTATATGAAGCATGTAAGATTAAAATTGAAAGCTAAAAACAGAAAATAAATCTCAAAGCAAAAGTGACTGAGAATCAGCCTTGTGATTGTAATTCTATCTAAAACTGAAGACTGTTCCAGATAGTAAAAGTATGAAGGTCATTAACCCATAAATACAGCCAAAGCAACCAATTCCTAAGAATTGTAATTAAACTGCAAAGACTAATGAAAAGGAGGATCCAAATGCTGACTCAACAAGAAATGGCACAAAATATTAAACTTTTCAAGGAAAACTTACAATTTTTAAATTTTTTTTTAATGTTTATTTATTTTTGACAGAGAAAGAGAGAGAGAGATTGAGACAGAGCATCAGTGGGGGAGGGGCAGAGAGAGAGAGAGGGAGACACAGAATCTGAAGCAGGCTTGAGGCTCAGGGCTGTCAGCACAGGGCCTGACGTGGGGCTCAAACTCACAGACTGAGATCATGACCTGAGCTGAAGTTGGATGCTCCACCGACTGAGCCACCCAGGCGCCCCAGGAAAACCAACAATTTTAAAGCCTGTGTGAGTAAAGCAGGGCTAGGATAGGATAAGTAGAACACAAAATACTACCAATTAGCAACGGAAGTAAACTCAAATTTTAAATTAGTCTGTTCTGGTCTGTATTTTAGGACTAGGATGCCTTGTAAATATATATTGCCTCCCTCCCTAACCTGGAGTTCCTTGAACAATGTAAGTCTCTGTGTTCATTATCACCTGAAAACAAGTGAATGGATTTTCACTCAATTTAGAGGGCTTGTTGGTAACGTATGATTTCAAAAACAGGCTATCTCAGAGAAATTTACTTTATGGAGACCTTAGAAGATATTTTCAAGAGACGGGCAGTATGTTTTTCTAAGAGAAATATAATACAAGGCACAAAAGCAAGTCATGTACGCAATTTTACATTTTCTAGCAACCACATTAAGAAGTGAAAAGATGTGGAATTATTTTTAACATTATATTTAAATGGATATATCCCAAACACTACCATTTTAACATACAATCAATATTTTGAAAAAACTAATTTTGATATTTTACTCTTTTCTTAATACTAAGTCTACAAAGTCCTGTGTACTTTACACTTAAAGCACATTGTATCTTGAACTAGCCACCTTTCAAGTGCTCAATAGCCGCATGTGGCTAGTGGCTACTGTATTCGGGTAACTTTGAAAAGCCCTACTTTAGAAATACCAGCATCACCTCACAGAAATAAAAATTCTCAATTCTCTCTCCAAACCTCCAACATGAAAATAGGGGCTGGGGGTCAAAAATGAGTGCCTTAGTAGTAAGTTCTCTAGGTAAATCTTATCACTGCCAAAGTATGAGAAATACAACTTTCGAACATCTACCACTGAGGTACAACTGAGGTAGACCTGAAAATCCAGCTCTGCAGCAACTCAGTAGATGTCAAAATGTACAGTAGTTTCGATCATACATTCCTATAAAAGAAGAACAGACCAGCATATATCTGTAGTTCTCACAAGGAATTGTCTAGGGTATGGAAAACACTAAATTCAGTGATTCTCCCCCAATTAATGGAAGAGCACCTGGCTAAAATAAACATTTTTCTTTCTTTTTTTAAATTTTTTTTAATGTTTATTTTTGAGACAGAGACAGGGCATGAGTAGGGCAGGGGCAGAGAGAGAGGGAGACACAGAATCTGAACTGAAGCAGGCTACAGGCTCTGAGATGTCAGCACACAGCCCGACATGGGACCCGAACTCATGAACCGCAAGATCATGACCTGAGCCAAAGTCAGGCACTCAACCAAAGGACCCACACAGGCATCTCAAAATAAAAATTTTCCTTAAAAAGAGCCAGTATCTGGGGCGCCTAGGTGACTCAGTTGATTTAAGTGTCCAACTCTTGGTTTCAGCGCAGGTCATGATTTCAGTTTGTGAGATCAAGCTCTGCATTGGGCTCTGTACTAACAGCATGGAGCCTGCTTGGGATTCTCTCTCCTCCTCTTTCTCTGCCCCTCCTCTGCTTGTGTGCACACACACACTCTCTCTCAAAAGAAGTAAATAAACTTAAAAACAAAAAAGGAAAAAAAAAAGCACCAATATCTGAGCATATACATACATACATATATATATATATGTGTGTGTGTGTGTGTGTGTGTATATATATATATATATATATATATATGCGCCAAGCATTGTACTAAATGCTTTCTTTATTCATTTATTCCTGGTAATAAATCTATGTAGTAGATATCTTTATCCCCATTTTCTTTTAATTTTTTTAATGTTTATTTTTGAGACAGAAAGAGCGAGAGAGAGACAGACAGAGCATGAGCGAGGGAAGGAGCAGAGAGAGAGGGAGGCACAGAATCCGAAGCAGGCTCCAAGCTCCGAGCTGTGAGCACAGAGCCCGATGCGGAGCTCGAAGCCATGAACCGTGAGATCATGACCTGAGGTGAAGTCAGATGCTTAACCGGCTAAGCCACCCAGGCTCCCCAATTATCCCCATATTTTAGGTAAAAAACTAAAGGATTAGAGACCTTACCTTTCCAAGGCCACAATCTACTAAACAGCAGTGCTTGAACTTGAACACCAAAGCCAATGGACTTAATCAGTACTAATACTGTCTACCTCCAGGGACAAAACTGACAACTTTGTAGTACCAGGAGCCCAACAAGATACAGGACATATGCTTTATTGGTATCTGGTGAATAAAGGTAAGTGATCAATTTTGAACAAAAGAGTACTTTACACTGTACCACATGACAGCTAATTAATGGATTTATTCAATAAAACTGCTGAAAGCCTGCTATGTACCAGGCACTGTTCTAGGTGCTGAGAATAAAATAGTGCAGCAAACAAAATAGCGCAGCAAACAAAATAGTGTCCCTAACTTCAGGCTGCATACATTCCAATGGAAAAAGGTATTTCTGTGAAAGAAAGAGAGGGAGGGAGAGAGGGAGGGAGAGAGGGAGGGAGAGAGGGAGGGAGAGAGGGAGGAAGGAGTAATATGAAGAAAATACAATCATGTTAAATATCGACCGTAAATGAATGTGTTATTTTATATATTTATTTTTTAGAGAGAGAGAGAGTGTGCACGTGCACAAGTGGGTGAGAGAGGAAGAGAGAAAGAATCTTAAGCAGGCTCCACGCTCAGCACAGAGTCCAATGCGATCAATCCCACCACCCTGGGATCATGACCTGAGCTGATATTAAAAGTTGGACACTAGGGGCGCCTGGGTGGCGCAGTCGGTTAAGCGTCCGACTTCAGCCAGGTAACGATCTCGCGGTCCGTGAGTTCGAGCCCCGCGTCGGACTCTGGGCTGATGGCTCAGAGCCTGGAGCCTGTTTCCGATTCTGTGTCTCCCTCTCTCTCTGCCCCTCCCCCATTCATGCTCTGTCTCTCTCTGTCCCAAAAATAGATAAACGTTGAAAAAAAAAATTTAAAAAATAATAAAAAAAAATTAAAAAAAAAAAAAAAAAGTTGGACACTCAAACAACTGAGCCACCCCGGTGCCTCTGAATGTGTTACTTTAGATTGGGTCTTCAGGGAAGGCTTCTCTTAAGTGACATTTAAAAGAGACATGAAAGACAAGAGACCCAGGCAGGCAAAGATCTGAAAGCAGGGCTCCAGACAGACAGGGAAAACAAATGAAAACAAGGCCTTAAGATCAGAAACAAACTTAAGAAGGCCAATACGATTGACACTTAATGAGAAAAGGAGAAAATGGAACCAGATGAGGTTGAAGAAGCAGACAGGAACAGAACATGTGTGACCTTGCAGGAGAAAAAAAAAAAAGTCTGGACTTATACATCTGTACCAACAAAGTCACTGGAAGAATACGTGACTATATGAATATAATAACAGAGAAAAACAGGGTGCCTAGGTGGCTCAGTTGGTTAAGCATCTGACAGGCCCAGGTCATGATCCCACAACTCTTGAGTTCAAGCCCCACATGAGGCTCTGTGCTAACAGCTCAGAGGCTGGAGCCTCTTCAGATTGCGTCTCCCTCTCTCTCTGCCCCTTCCCTGCTTACTTACACTCTCTTTCTCTCTCTCAAGAATAAACGTTAAAAAAATAAAATAAAAATTCAAAAAATTCAAAAATAACAGAGAAAAGATTCTGGCAGAACTCATCTTCACCCAACTCAAAAAAGAAAAAAGCCATGTCCCTAGGTGAGCTGGTGACTGATAGACATCCTCACTCTAAAGGTCTGTTTGTT